CAGATCTTGTCCGCAGGGTTAGTCCCTGGCTGGTCCCCATGTCCATGTTTACCTGCATCTCTACAGGTATCAGAGGATCGCAGCTCTTGTTTCATGGCATGCATCTCCACAGGTATCAGAGGATCGCAGCTCTGGTTGGCTGCAAATCGCTGTTCGTGGCCAATGTGAGCAGCAGGAAGTAACATCCCGGACCGTGATGCTTCCCGCCACTTGCATTGGCCACAACCGCCAGGGACTAACCCTGCGGACCACATCTGGCCCATGGGCCAGAATTTGCCCATCCCTGCTCTAGAAAGCAGCGCTTATTGCTAAAGAATAAGCAAAGTGAAATGCAAAGTGAAAGTTGGTATAGAGAATAGTTGTAGCCATATCAGTCCCAGGACATTAGCGAGACAAGGTGTGTGATGGTAATGCATAACTTGAGAACTTGTCTTTCTCACGAACTGAAGGTGGCCCCATAAAATATATTACCTCCACCCATCCTGTGTCTCAGTGAAAGTTTGTTCTTTGTGTGTGTGTGTGTGTGCCCTGCATCAAGAATGATTTCTTACTGTGCACTTGCATTGCCAACCCCAGTGTACAAAATAATCAGCTGCTCCGCATTATGGTTTCTACACCTCAAGTGCAAAGCAGGGACAGCCTGGAATTTCTAATGACTTGGCTGATCTCCAGAAGCTAATTTTAAAGCACCAGCAGTTCATGTGTAAAGTTTCCAGAGGTGAGCTGTGTTTGATCAGCTGTGTTGGGCCATCACAGACACATCAACTTCACTGTCATGTGCACTCTGAACATAATAAACAACTTGAGCAAAACTCTCTCCACGGAAGATGTCATTGCTTGGCTTTCACTGAGCTCACGTAGTTTTAAAATTGAAAAGTTGCCTGAAAACATCCCGAGTTTCACATTGGCTCACATTGAAGTGGGCAGATAATGAACCTGAAAATAAAGATGCTTCCCTGCAGAACTAGAAAGAGGCCCAATACACAAAATGTGAGTTAAAATTTGAATGTCCCTTAAATTCAGATTCATTCCATTCCGGGATTTTGTGTCAAGCTCATCTCTTTTCATAACAGAAATGACTTGTAAAATTGTGTTGGAATAGACAGTGCTGTTAAAAGGCTGGATCCAAAACCTGTCCATGTCTTCCTGTTGATTTGAATGATCTTTGGATCAGGCTTAGAATGATCTTTTGAAAATCTATAAATGTCTCCAACATTCTCTCTATTGGAGTCCACAGTAAGCCCCCACTGCTTCAGAAAAAGGGGAAACTTTGTAGTAATTTATAAATGTTATACAACATACTCCACAAAGTGCATTAAAAGTATATAACTAAAAACTTTTCAAACAAGATGGTCAACTTGCTTCCCTTCTACAATCCAAGTGGAAACTGTCCATTGTTACAGAATCCATTCAACTGTATGAGACCCCATTATTCTTAATTAGACGGCGAAGGCTATTCAGTCAATCTAGTGCTTTCATATTGTTTTATACCAATGGAAAAAAGCATGCAGATTTCCTTCCTTCAAGATTGTTGAGTGCCTAGAAATTACAGTTTTCATTTTTTGTGATTGAATAAGATGTCATTTAATATACTTACACACTTTTCTGTAAGTCTAAAATGAACAAAAATATTATTTTTTAACACATTTCAGTTTAGTTTCCAGGAGGAAACTACATCTACAATGACGTCATAACCTTCCCTAGGAAATAAGTAGCATTGTCAGAAATATTTCTAATGTATTACATTTTCATTCTTACGCTTGAGTGCAGAATTTTCACAACACAGAGTCTAGAAATAAAGCGTATTGTCATCTGACAACCAAATGTCCCAAGAAAGCTGGGCGGGTGAAAGCTATTTTACTAGTTAAGACCTTTAGGGCAGGTATTGCCCTTTATTATCTATAGAGCCTCTAGTCACCATGTTATTTCCATGTTAAATAAGCTCAGTTTCAGAAGAATGAGACTATATGGTAATAATGTGAACATTAGCAGTAGATTGATGAGTCATAGCACAGTCTGATCATTTTCCTCTGCTACCGTTGATCATATGCTTACCCTTCAGATTAATAAGTCATAGCACAGTCTGAACATATTCCTCTGCTACCGTTGATCATATGCTTACCCTTAAAGAGTGGAGATTTGAAGTTACGTGTTCAAATTCCATTAACTTTTAATGGGATTTTGGAGCCTTTTGCCTTTGAAAATCTCCCCCTACTTACTGCTGTCGGTTTTCATACATTATGGTTTTAATAGAGCTTTAACCTCTTGTGCTACAAAAGCAACAACTTTAGTCCTAGATATTTTTAAACAATATTGTTGGGTTTGATAGCAAAGTAGTTGTGGCCTGGATCCTGCACTGTTTTAGACTAGGGTTGCCAGGTGTCCGGTATTGAACTGGACAGTCCATTATTTTCGCTTCCTGCCTGGTAAAAAAATTCAGAAAATACCGGACACCTAAAATGTCCGATACTTTCTGATTTTTTCCCGGCCAGGAGGCGAAAATCTCGGGCTGTCCAGCTCAATACGGAGGTAGCCTGGCAACCCTAGTGCTTACTGGATTCTGCAGGGGAGCTTTCCAGACCCATGCAGGGAGGCAAGATGGCGGGCAGCTGCTGGCAGCCTGTTAGGGCCAAAAATCCTCACCACATGTTTTTTAAAGGGGCCACACTGTGGTGGTGCTGGGGAGCTGTGCGGCCCGGCGCAGGAAGGCATGCCGCCGGCAGCCTGTTAAGGCCAAAAAGTCTCACCACACGGTTTTTAAAGGGGCCTCGGTGTTTTGGGTTTTTGGGTGGTTTTTTATTTTTAGATACATGCTTAATTTTCACGAAGCATACCGGAGCGGTTGACAAAGGCTTCCCTTGTCGACCGCGGCACGTCTAGACTGCCCCACTGTGCCAGATCAGCTGATCGTTGGCACAGCGCGGCGGCCATTTTTATTTTAATGAAGCGGAGGTTATTTAAATCCCCACTTCTTTGCCTATGCCGAATAAACCAGAAAAATTCATGTGGGGGATCATCAAGGAATCTATTCTGAAGCACTTGTAAGAGAGGAAAGTGATCAGGAATAGTCAACATGGATTCACCAAGGGCCTGACCAACCTGATTGCCTTCTATGATGAGGTAACTGGGTCTGTGGCCATGGATAATGTGGTGGATGTGATATATCTTGACTTTAGCAAAGCTTTTGATATGGTCTCCCACATAATTCTTGCCAGCACGTTAAGAAAGCATGGATTGGGTAAATGGACAGTAAGGTGGGTAGAAAGCTGGCTAGATTGTTGGGCTCAATGGATAGCCTTTAACTACCTGAAGGGGGTTTCCAAAGAGGATGGAGAGAGGCTGTTGTGAGTAGTGACAGATGACAGAACAAGGAGCAATGGGCTCAAGTTGTGGTGGGGGAGGTCTAGGTTGGATGTTAGGAAAAAACTATTTCACTAGGAGGGTGGTGAAGTACTGGAATGAGTTACCTAGGAAAGTGGTGGAATCTCCATCCCTAGAGCTTGACAAAGACCTGGCAGGGATGATTTAGTTGGGATTGGTCCTGCTTTTAGCAGGGGATTGGTCTTGATGACCTCCTGAGGTCTCTTCCAACCTATGATGGTATGATTCTATGATTCTAAGTGCTGTTCACCCTAGTGACTGCCTTATGAAATGGAAACGTCAGTGTAATTTCTTAGTCAGTTACTTTTCAGATGCTCTTTGAGGTACTGCCCATACTTATTTGAAATTGTTTTTTTATGCCAAGTTTTATCTACTCTTCATTCTAGTCCATATTCACTTTCTACGTCAAAAGTCCATATCATTCCAAGTATACGTTTCATAAGTCTTTAGAGAAATATAAATGGTTCATTTTTTCTGTCTTTCCAATACGGGTAATTTGTGAGATGGAAAGCAAATTAAACACTAGCCAATGGTCATGGGATCAAGGAATGTTTTAGTCACATGGTATAGAATTTTTAAATTGTCAAGTCCTTTTAGCATGGTAATATTTAAGAAGGGCAAATATGCTCTATGATCAGAGGCTCCATTGATGGAGTCTTACTCTCAGATGTTTTTTTTTTAACTTAACATTATAAAGCTTCATCACTGATTCTGATGATATAGACTTCTGAATGACAAGATGCTGAAAGTCATAATACAGGTTATATCTCCCTGGTCCAGCACCCTTAGGACTTAACCACTCCCCAAACTAGGGAATCTGCTGGACCAGAGGATATCAATGCTGGCCCTTCTGCTGCTGCCACCTGCCAGCTGTGGGACTCTGCTCCAGTGGCAACAGAGGGGCCGACACTGACTAGGCATCCCCTCCCTGTCTGAGCTTGAATGTCACAGATGAGTTATTTGGGGCACTCTGGGAGGGTGGGGGAGGAGTTACTGAGCTCGGGGCCTGGATTTTTCTCATGAGTTCCCCAGCCTGGGAGCGCCCACAAGTGTGCCAGACCACAGATGTTGACGGACTACGGAAGTCCGGACTATAGAAGCAATGATTGTAGAAATGGCTTCTTACAGTTGCAATGCATTTCCTCATAGAGCAATCCTACCCGCAATCCTTACTGTCATGTAACAGCAAGACATGGGTTGCATTAAACAGGGTTTTGCCAGTTCAGGAATTTGATGCCTGATTTCTTGGTTCCCTTGTGCTCGTTACTAGAATGCCAGACTGTTCATTGTAAGCTGGAGATATGTCATGTATTGGTCAAAAACAGTGCTACTTTGGACATGTACCAAATGGACATGTGCACATACAATGGCAGCTACTAAAGTTGTGTGGTTTACTCTGCCAAGTATTGCCCATAGGATTGAACCAAAGCTTATTGAAATTAATGGGAATATTTCCATTGACTTCAACTGGCTGCTGATCAGGCACTTAATAATCCAAATCTGGTAATCTTGTTGGGACAGTCTGCCAGAGTCATATCATTTAATCATCAGTGTTCATGTGCATCAGTAAGTTATAAACCACTTCTCTATCAACCTCTAACTGTGTCTATGTTTTGCAGAGGCCTTTGAGTCATTGCTTCGCTTTGCAGAGAATCACACAACAACCCTGTTTGAGAGTGCTTACAGAGCCATGGCAAAAGAAGCTGCAGAGCCCATCAAAGAACTTTTTACAGACCTCTCTCTATATATTTTGGGTGCTGAGACTACAGTGGAAAATGCAGTTTTACGTTTCTTCGACAGTCTCTTTCCTTTGGTTTACAGTCGGCTAATAAACCCTGGAATGACAGATTTATCAGAGGAATACACTGAATGTCTACGACTAACAAGACAAGACATAAATCCCTTTGGACGTTATTCTAAAGAAGTGGTTACAGAGCTGTCAAAATCTCTTTGGGCAAGTAGGAAGCTAAACCAGGCCCTCAATATGGGCATTGAGGTGATAAACACGACTGAACATGCTGCTCTTACAAAGGAATGTAGTAAAGCGCTAGTGAAGATGCAGTACTGTCCACATTGCCAAGGTCTGACACTAATCAGACCTTGTGTGGGATATTGTCTAAATGTAATGCGGGGCTGTTTGGCCAGTGTGTCAGAGCTGGATATTCAATGGAGGGAGTATATTTCCACACTGGAATATCTGACTAATGAAATGGCTGGGTCACATGATCTGGAACTTGCACTTCTAGGAATCAGGAATTTAATCAATGAAGCCATCCTTCATGCACAACTGAATGGGCCACAACTCTCTGCCACAGTAAGTACTTCTTGATTATTTTGAAGTTCACTTTTCAGCTTTCGTTATTAGATGAATAAACATATCATCACTTAATGTTGGGTTTGCATCAATTAGCAGTCAACAAGACCTCTGTCAATAGTGCGTGTATATATCACAGATAATTACAATGGGAGTCTGTAGCAAGCAACTGACTTAAAATGAAAAAAAAAATGTAAACTTTCAGTGGAATTTCCTAAACAGAATATTTAGAGTATTTTACATATCTGGTTGATGCATGATGGGATTTCAGTTGCACATTTTCATGCTAGAACTCCTAGAAACATTTTCAAAAGTCTCATTGTAATAGGATTTTTTAGCAAAGGGCACAGGGACATTCCAAAGGAATCAATGTGCTGTATCTAGGAAGTGTGGGACTGTTCATGTAAATATCTTTATTTGCTAAGAATTCCTGAAAGTACTTTCTTTAGAGTTAAATATCAATGTGAAGGAAGGCAGGAAGGAAGGGAGGGAGAAAGGGAGGGAGGGAGCAAGAGTAACATGATATGAAGATGATGATGAGAAAATGGCCACAATGAAAGAGTGGTGAGATTATTAGAAGTGCTATTTTAATGTACAGCATTTATGTGACCAAAGGATAAAAATATGCTGATAGTGAATCCATCTTGTATGGGTGATAGGATTAAGGAGGCAGAGATCTGGTGTTAGAATTACAAATAAATAACAGCAACACATAACAAACAAGCCTTCTGATAAATTGTAGGAAAGTAGTCCAGAAATTATTGAAATGACTAATGATGCAGCTGGCTACACTTGTATGAAGTCCAATACCACCATCAATAAAGAATCATGGCAGCTGTGCTCAAAACAGGGTAGAGACTAATCTAGGAAAATTCAAATTGATCCCATTGACTTGGAAGAAAAGGAAACCTCACTACAAAGTGAGAAGGAAATTTGTTGCACAGTGTTAGAAGTTTAATTCCTGTGCTGAACTTTGTTACCATATTATTTGGAGGAAGGGGGAATCTTTGGGAGGCATAAAGAATGTAATTCAAACCAGGAAAATATGTGCCAGATGGGTATGTCTGCATTGCAACCCGAACCGTTTACAGTTTAGAGCCATAGTGAAGAGATCAAATTCAGCAACATTTTCAGTTTGAAACAGATGACAAAACAAGGCAGTGAGAGCAAAATGAAAATGTAAAAAATAAGAATATACTGTATGATTATAAAACATTTGTTAAATATATACTTAGAGACAGTGTCATGATCCATGTTTTCTCAGGCTCATGAATGTTCTTTCTTCAATCATACTTGAATTTGAGGAGATATTTTCTACTCTATCTGGCATCCAAGAAAAAACTTGGAAAATCAGGACAGGGATGTCTAGGTTTATGGAATGGTTCCTGATTGTCTCTTCTATAGATCTTGTGCAAAGTTCATGATTCCTGGAACTTTCTTCCATTTGATGATGAGTCCATTGTAAGCCATAACCCATTGTATGCCTAAAAATAAAACAACAAAAGAACAATTCACCCATACCCCAGGAAACACTTAAATAACAAATCATCAATGTTAGAGACCCATTCCATTCCTTCATGAAGTGATACCATTGTTGTGATACTTTAGGTGTAGATACGGTGATCATGATATGTTGTATATGTCTATGTATTGTATAAAAGGCACATATGATAGCTAGAATACAATACATAGACCTAATTCACCCCTAAACCTGACCCATGTAGTGCCATTGACTTCCAAAGAGGTAAATGAGAGCAAACTTAGGGTTTCTTGCTATTGGAGAAAAAATGACCTGACATATTCTATCTGTCGTAAGAAGTATTATATTCTAGCATGCATTTTGATGTCAATATTACATTGCACAATAGTCAGCATGTTGTAATTTTGACATTTAATTTTGGGGAAAGGGAAATATACAATGCAGGTGAATATCAGACAATCTAGGATCTTATCCTGCACCTTGAAGTCGATGAGAATTTTGTCTTTGATTTCAATGGAAGCACATTTGGGCCTTCAGATGTCTTTCAGGGTGGGAAAGTTTCTGTTTAATCCTAATTTAAGAATCTCATCTGAGTCATACATGATTCCCTTTCATTAAATTTAAACATTTTCCTTCAACTTTCCAGATGACCTCAACTAGATAACTATGGGGAAATCAAATATCAGAGGGATCGCCATGTTAGTCTGGATCTGCAAAAGCAACACATTTACATGCATCTGATGAAGTGGGTCTTTGCCCACGAAAGCTTACGCTCCAATACATCTGTTAGTCTATAAGGGTATGTCTACACTAGAAAGTTAGTTCGAACTAGCGTTTTGCTAGTTCGAACTAGGCGTTAGTCCTCGTAAAATGAGGTTTACCTAGTTCGAACTAAGCGCTCCGCTAGTTCGAATTTGAATCGAACTAGCGGAGCGCTTAGTTCGAACTAGCGTTTTGCTAGTTCGAACTAGGCGTTAGTCCTCGTAAAATGAGGTTTACCTAGTTCGAACTAAGCGCTCCGCTAGTTCGAATTTGAATCGAACTAGCGGAGCGCTTAGTTCGAACTAGCGTTTTGCTAGTTCGAACTAGGCGTTAGTCCTCGTAAAATGAGGTTTACCTAGTTCGAACTAAGCGCTCCGCTAGTTCGAATTTGAATCGAACTAGCGGAGCGCTTAGTTCGAACTAGCGTTTTGCTAGTTCGAACTAGGCGTTAGTCCTCGTAAAATGAGGTTTACCTAGTTCGAACTAAGCGCTCCGCTAGTTCGAATTTGAATCGAACTAGCGGAGCGCTTAGTTCGAACTAGCGTTTTGCTAGTTCGAACTAGGCGTTAGTCCTCGTAAAATGAGGTTTACCTAGTTCGAACTAAGCGCTCCGCTAGTTCGAATTTGAATCGAACTAGCGGAGCGCTTAGTTCGAACTAGCGTTTTGCTAGTTCGAACTAGGCGTTAGTCCTCGTAAAATGAGGTTTACCTAGTTCGAACTAAGCGCTCCGCTAGTTCGAATTTGAATCGAACTAGCGGAGCGCTTAGTTCGAACTAGCGTTTTGCTAGTTCGAACTAGGCGTTAGTCCTCGTAAAATGAGGTTTACCTAGTTCGAACTAAGCGCTCCGCTAGTTCGAATTTGAATCGAACTAGCGGAGCGCTTAGTTCGAACTAGCGCTGTAGTGTAGACGTACCCTAAGGTGCCACAGGACTTCTTGTCGCTTATAGGGAATTCTTAATTCTTCTTTTCAAGAGCTTTTCTTTTGCCTTTACTAAGACTATCTCAGTGTATTTTTTTCTTTACTATTTCATGGGCTCATCTTTAGTCCATCAAAAATATTTGGTATTTTGAAATTGATACATATATTGCAGTTCATGTTGTCCTCAGTTTTCCTCTCATTTTAGTTGTCAGGGTAAGATTATATTTCTGTGATAAAGCATATTCTCTTATATTGAGTAAGCATGTAGTCTGATATTGATTTAAAATGTTTGAGATTAGTTACAGGGGATAACCGTTCCTTAGAAGATTAAGCCCAATCATGCTGTTCCCTCTAGTGAGTCTGACTTCTCCGAAGAAATGTATGAGAGTTCTGGATATGATTTTAGAACTTCCAGTTGTGTGATGACTGATTAAAATCCTGCAGCCAGATCCTCAAATACACTCATTCCTCTTTATGCTATTCTGACATTATTTGTATCTATTATGTTGCTTTATTTGAAACATGCTTTCACATATGTACATGAACTTCCCACTCTTCTTTATATCATCACTACACAATGTAGTGATCAGTTTATATCTATGCAGTTTATTTTTGTAGATTTAGGAAACTAGGAGATGTGTGTCTTTTATGATAACCATGTCTGTAACAAACACTATACTTCATTCAATAATAAATACTCTAACCATGGAAAATTCAATCCAGTAGCAGAGCACGACTATTCACTTCCATTTATCTTAAGACAACCTTAATGCTCCTTCTTTTTTAGGAAACTTATACTTTTTGAAACAGCCACATGGAGCTTCCATGATAAAAACTGAAGTTTCTTGTTAGCTGATTGGCTAAGTGCTAATGAATAATAGAGATCTGACTTTTTTACCATACTCACAGAAAGGGTTAAATAAACCAGATAAAGTACTTACTATGTTTTTTACTCACAAGAAGTGTGCACCACACTTGTAAGAACAAAACATCTGTGTGCATGAATATGTGAGTTTGGCCTATAGCAATTTATTCCTAGGCCCACTGACAGAGGCGAGGCAAAGGGGGCAATCACCAGGGCCTGGCGATTCAAAAAGGCTAGGGCTTCCGCAGCAACAATGGCAGAGTGCCTGCACCTTGAGCACTTTACATCACTGCTGGAATGCCTTCTGGGTGGTGCTGAGGGCCCCACCCCATCCAGGAATATGGAGCCCAGAGGCCTGCCAAAGGCCTCCCTTGTCAGTTTCATTAGAGCCAAAAGACATGTCTGATTCACCTGGATGACACGTGTGAAAAGCCATGACAAAGCTATTAGAACTCTCTTTCTCCTAGGGTTCCTACAGAACAGGCAGTGCCATTTGTGCAATGAGGCTGGCATACACCCAGCTACTTAAACTAATGTGGATCTGCAATGAGCTGCAGCATCCGCAATCATAATAATTATTTTCTGTTTTGTCTGCTAGAATCTGATTGTGTGTCATATTGGAAGGAATGCTGACGGCCTCCTGGTGCCAGAGATGTAGCCCTAGTTGTATGCTCTTGATACCAGTTTGAGAGAAACTTTCCTCTTTTCCCTCCCCCTCCCTTTTTGTTTTTGCTTTCTAAAGCTCAGTATTTTCATACATAAAATCAACCTTAGTTGTGTGGTTCAGTCTGTGCATTGCATGCAACAGCGCATTTTTATTATTTCTTGCAAGGTGGAAGAAATATACTCCTGAGCAAAATGATAATTGAGGTAAAGCAGGCCTGAAATGCATGCTACCCACTGGCACTGGTGAGAACTGTGCACAATTTTCTTATCTGCAGATGATCCGAATTCTCACATTCACCATCAGTT